TCCATCAGGGTTTGGATATGACTGTTGTGTCGAGTCTTCTGCTGCTGCGGCGGCGGCGGGTGCGATGATGGCGACGGTTGCAGCTGCTGCAGAAAAATCTTTAACTCATAATGGTTGAAGGAGAATCCATCAACTCCCTCATCCCAGTAGAGTTTTCCTGATGGGTGTAGGCGTAACTCCCAGGAACACGTGCATTTTGGTACACATGTGTTGCTCCATTGTTGCCGGTGATGGTTTCATTTGAGGGTATGAAGAGAATTTTGCTTCTCCCCTTAATGTATCCACAGGTAGCAATTCCTTGTATGCTCATCCGTGCCTCCAATGTACGGTCGGTAGAGCGCGTGATCGTGTTGTAGTAGTCTGCATCTCCCTCATGTGTTGACACCTCGTGTTGCTTAGCATTCTCCTGTATTGTCGAAGTTACGCTGATACTTGTAACGCTTCGGCTTCTGGTAGAATCGCCTCCAATGCATGTGCCGCAGGGTCGCTAGTGAACGAATACTTGCCGGATTCGAGGTTAATTACTCCTCAATCTGTCAAGCATCGTGACATGCAAGGAATTTTTTCCACGCAGGTCATTAACACCTGGAATCGTGACGCATGATTGGTGTGTCGCCTCGTGAGGTCGATGTTTTGACACTGCTCCAATCAATCACTTCGGATGGCTGAGATTCTTGATGAAGACAAATCGATCAGCTCCTGTTACGAAGTAGTGTCTCGCTGGCCTTGACGAGACAAGTTCACTGCGTCATCGTTGTGTGCAAAATCTCCTCCTTCGCAGCAACTTGATGTTGGGAATATTGCAAGAGAAAACGGCTACTTCTATGCAATCCCATAGGTTGTCGATCAAATTTATAAGATGAAGTGTCTCATGGATTGAGAACATATCTTCACGCAGCTTCATTGTTATTCGTGGGTGAAGATCCGCTGTGTTGACGTCGATCCATTTTTAACGAAGATGACTTCGTCAAAATAATGTAATCCATGATGATGTTTTTCCATAGTGTAATCTTTGCTGCATTCGTGCCGTTGATTCCGCATTGATCCGACGATCCACGTTCTCCTGTCAGTTTTCTGCTTGCAGCTATTACCAAGTAGGTAATTCTTTGGCAGATTTCTGACTCTGCAGATTATTTGCGCATCTAAGTCGTAACCAAATGGAGGAATCCGAATTTGGTTGTTAAGATGAAATATACGGTGTCGAAGGCGGCTGATTCTTGGTTCTGCGCATCATTCTCCCTTTGTGCAGTAGTCGCGCTCCATCTCGTCCGTTAAAAAAGAAGTCGATCCGACGGTCCAAACTCCAAGCGATCTGAAGATATTCCAGAGTCGCGTTCAGTAGCTTTCGGCGCCCGGGTACACTCGTTTTCTGCAGCAATTCTTGGTCGTCGATGTCGGCTGTCGTATGATCGGACGCTCCGAAGAATTTCGCGGCTTGCGAGGTCCCGTTCTCATAAGCGTTGAAACTCGAACTCGCTCAGAAGGATTTCGTTTTCGCCTCGGTCGATCTGAAGCGTCGAATCTCCATCGGACGGATGTCGTCGGTCGCAGCTCCGCAAATTTCGGCGCAACTCCAAGTGTCGTGGCGAACAACGAACTTCTCGGAATGTCGCAAGGAGTGTTCCGCTAGAAGTGACGCATTTACGAGGTCGAGGCCGTTTGCCCCCGCGAAAAAATCGGCTCCGTCGATGCAGTCCATAGAACGGTCGGCGAGGCATCTCGCATTCGAAGGAGACCCCAGGTGCAACTATGCGAGGTTAGTCAAAACTTAATATGAAAGAGCATTGTACTTACAGGAATTGAAGTTTCGACTCTATCCTCGGCGTGCTTTTGGGGGCCCAGTGGTTAAGCGTTGAGCTAAAACCTTGGCTCTGATCACCAAGTGTAACAGGATTGAATGAGGTTTGTTCAATGTTGTATTATCAATTGCTACAAGGCGCTTTTATACTTCCAGAGTACATCAGGTAACCAGGTTTATCTTATCCAAAGGGAATTGACCCTTCTAGAAATAGAATCTCTATGGGTATAGCCACACGAGGCTATTGAATTTAAGGGATTATGGCAGGATTACGCTAGATATAGCGCGCCAGTACATCCCGAGCCTGGTCGGTGATATAATTATAATAACAGGATAAACCAAAGGATTATGGAAAACGAGGAATACAAAACCAAATGAGATGAGACAAAAACCAAATGAATCAGAATGAAAAGAGGAATGAAATAGAAAGGAAATATGGAAAGGGGAAACTGGTGTAACGGTGTCGTACTCTCACAGCAGTAGTATTTGCCTTGCAACCACATGCGGGGAATCTACGGTGGCATGACAGTTGTAGATTCCCACGTAGTTGGTTTCCTGTACCTTGGCTGTGCAGCCAGAAAAACATCCCCCCCCACCCTAGTGATGCATTGCGTCCTTTGCAGCCTTCTCTTGCACCTTCTATTTCCATATTTATCAACTCAGTGAGTGTAGTTTCTGCTCCTTCTGCTCCACGGTTATTTCCCGACTCTGGTTCATGCTTTCGTCAAGCCCTGCATGGCTGGCGAGGAGGCGGAGGCAGAGGGTGATGGTCAGCACGACGACTCCAGCCCGTCCCAACTTACGGGCTTAGACTACCTAATGAGGTCGCTAGGTTTCGGTGGTAGAGTCGCTCCGTCGCCCGCCTTATAATTAGAACAGTCAAGTGCTCCCGCCGCTCCGTCTCATGCCAATCCTCAGCCAGTGCCCGAGCCCGAGTCCGCCGCGCCGGATATCAGTGGCCCTCGCCACTCCCATCCCCTCCTCAGTCGCCGGTGCATGCCGCCTCGCTGTCGAGCCGGCAAGAGAAGAGAGGCTCGATACCCTCCCTTTCGCGAAGGGCACCCTGCCATCCGCCCCCAGGGTATCTGTCCACTAGGAACGAGCCACACCTAGTCCCTCTTCAGCCGTGGACCCAGAAGATGACGCTGAGGTCAAGGGTGCCGGCAATGAAGACGAACCAGATCCGGCTGCCGACACTTCAGTGCGTAAGGAGCTGAAGCACAAGTACGAGACGGAATGGGTGAAGGAATTCCCCTGGCTCGAGCTGACAGAGACGGACAAGGGATGGCCATCTATCAAATGCAGCATCGGCACTGCTCATTGCACGGAGGATTGCGTGTACGGCTGAGGCGGGCAGGGGGGTGTCGATATTCAGGTCCAGACCATGCAGACGCTCCAGCGCACGAAGATGCACCAGGCTGCCATATGCAAGAAGGAGGCGAAGGACCGGGATACCACCTCGCAGAAGTGCATCGAGGACTTCAGCAAGGGAGACCTAGAAGGAAAAAGGGTAATTCGTTTGCTTATGGCTCTGCATTTCATCTGTCGCACCGACACACCGATTCTATTGTACATCGCCCTTGTCAATTTCATGACATCACAAGGAACACCCGACCTACCCGAGAGTAGCTACGGCACCTAATACACCGAGTAAGTGTCGTGCATTTGTTTCATGCTCAATACTTATCATCCTGGCACTAACAATTACATGGGGAACTTTGCAGGTACGGCTTCCGCCAGTTGTCGGGGTCAATGGCGACTTACCTCAAGAAGAAGCAGATGGATTACATCCAAGCTAGCCCTTTTATCGGCATCAATGCCGATGAAAGCACGGATTGACGGCGTGGCAAGCACCTCATAGTTTATTTAACATTTGTGAAAAAGGGCAAGGTCGTTACTGAATTATTTGCGTTACTAACGATGACTTAGTGTTGTTAGGATTAAGGACGGAGTCTAGGTGAACTTAGGAGCTAGAATTACTCAAAATATAAATCCGAAATTCTGGACAGAAAAGTCGTCTTTACAAGAAACGACGTCGACGAAAAACTAGCCGTTGGAATGTCCCGTTAGAAGTTGAAAAAACATGGGATGGGAGGCAGACAGAATGTGATAGCATATGATGACATCACACAACAAGTGTGATGCCGCTTCTCTGCTAGCTGTTTTACAAATGCATCTCGAAACAGCAGGCATTGATCTCCAGAAGATTTCTAGGATTTCCACAGATGGAGCCAACGTCATGACAGGTGGACGTGCTGGCCTTGTCACTCGCCTTTGAGCTATCGTGCCTCATCTTGTCTCGTGGCACTGCATCGCCCACCGGTAAGCATCAGTTTTCATTTGTTTCAATGTTGCTTGTTCTTTTCCACCAGTAAATTGACATTTTTGCCGATCGTCTTTCATTTCCAGGGAGGCACTTGCGGCAAAAGACGTGGCCTTGAAGTACAAAGACTTTGAATTCATCGACGAGATCATACGCATGCTCGCCGAGATCCTCGGACGCTCCTCCGTATGGCATGCCCGTTTCCGAGAGCTTCAAGAGGTGCTGCTGAAGACGTTCTCGGAGCTGCAGTCGGTCTTCGCCATTCATTTGGTGTCTCGATCAGAGGCCATCGAACGGCTCGTCGTTGTCCTGCCAGCTGCAATCCTCCTGCTATACGAGTACGACTTCACAACGTACGAGGTGGCACGTGGATACAAGTTCCACTTCTGCTTCTTCTTCCTCGCGGACCTGCCGAAGGAGTTAAACCAGCTGAATCAGAAGTTCCAGCGGTGCCAGGTAATATGTCTAAGTCCCTTGAATTGTTATGGGACTTCAACTGACGCTCTTCCTGGTGTTGAATCTGCAGGTGGACATTACGAGGGTGGCCAGCCAGGTGCAGGTCACCATCTAAGTCATCCGCTCGCGCTACGTCGACTGCGGCCAGCTCTTCGACACGGCCAACAGCAAGCATCTGCACGCCTTCTTGATGAAGCACGCGCCAGAGAGTCAGGTAATTGTCGAAGGCCAAGCTAAGGACGGCACGCCGATCCGCCACGTCTACACCCTACACACGAAGAAGATCTCAGGCCACATGTACAAGAGCGACAAGGCAAGCTACACCGAGCTCTGCCGAGCCATGGCAGAAGCGACGATGGAGTCCCTGGAGAAGCGCCTCTCCGATCTGCAACAGCTTGGCAGTACAAAGCTCTTCCTATCCAGCGTCTACCCCATGGGCAAGGTGGACAACGAGCGCAAGAGCCAGGAATGGCTTGGTTCCATCAAGAAGCAGTTCCATGATAAGCCTCTGCCAGGTAAGTTCGCATTCCGTCATCTGTATACTCTTGCAATGCTTCCCCCCTTAGGGATGCTGCGTGCCTATGCACATTTTACTTTCAGCACGACTAATTCGCCTCTTATATATTTATGGTTTCCCCCCCACAGGAGTAAGCTAGAAGAAAGCGGGGTTGGAGCTCTCTTCCTTCTACAATATCATGCAATGGCATCACGGCGACATGTTCTTCCACAGCAGCCTTAGCCACATGCTCGCCACCAAGGACTGGGAGACGGCGTACCCGAACATCGTGAAGATTTGGATCTCCACAGCCGTGCTGCTGCTCAGCACGGTGGAGTGCGAGCAGGGATTTAGCAGACAGGACGTCATCAAGAGCTAGGCCCGAGGTAACCTGTGCGACGCGCGACTCTCTGACCTCATGTGTGTCTCCCTCCTCCATCAGTACGACATGAAGTGGGAGGAGATTGTCCAGATCTGGCGCGCCTCCAAGCAGAGGCGCCCCTGCCAGGATGTTGTGGCACCAACACCAGTGGCGGCCATGAGCAAGAAGAAGAAAGAGGCCCTAAGGAGAAAGCGGAGGAAGATTGCTGCCCTGGAGGCGGAGATCTGGCGCTGGAAGGGGAAGGCTGTGGAGGAGGAGGAGGAGAAGGAGGAGGAGGAGGAGGAGGAGGAGGAGGAGGAGGAGGAGGAGGAGGAGGAGGAGGAGGAGGAGGAGGAGGAGGAGGAGGAGGAGGAGGAGGAGGAGGAGGGGGGAGGAGAGGAGGGGGGAGGAGAGGAGGGGGAGGAGGAGGAGGTAGAGAAGGGCGAGGTGCAGCGAGATGCTGTCCTATATGACTATGACAATGATGAGGATTATGATTTCATCTAACTAACAATTTCTAATGCAAGATGCCTTTTCCAGACAAATCTGTTGGAACGTTTTGAATTTGTCTTAAACTTTCAGACATAATTTCTCATTCTGCTTGAGAATCAGACAACACTAAAAAATTTCAGACAAAATACTGAAACAACGTCTGATGGGAGAGATAAGGAATTTTTGAAAAGAGGACCCTGGCTGTCGAGCGGTCTTCCTGATGGTGCGCAACCAGCAATTGCGACCCTGAAGCTGAATGGTCGCGAAGCGCAACTATAAACGGGCGAACTAAACGCCACGCAATGCAACTGTTATACAGTTGAGCTGCGACGTTTCACTCCCTTACGCAGAACTATTTGAATAATTGTATTGCATCTTTCTAATATAGTATTCCCCCGAATATGCGCCCCTAGGGGCGTGTAGGGTAAATAAGAATCTCATGGGATGTGGCTAATAATCAAACAAAACAAATAAGCTCTGGGGCTAGTTGTACGTATGTATAGGAACATATTTAAAAAATATGAGAGTGTTCCTCCATCTACCATCTATCGAGTTTTGGTCAAAACGGTTGTTGTTCTGTTGAAGATTCCTGACAAGTTGTCTCCCGAAGATATTGCCACGGTTGCACATTCAACGAGCCAATGAAAATCCTGCTCGACATGTGCAGGAAGCCTCCCTCTTTGTCCGGGCGTATTTCTACAATTCATATCCGATTCAGCCTCGCTCGCATCGGATTGGTGACAAAGCGAGCCGCGCCGCAATGAATTACAGGGGGTATGCTCTATTCTCCAAATCCGCGACTCGCAAATATGGACTACAACGAATAAGAGCGGTTCACTACGGGCAAAATGGATTATCGAGTAGCACGTACGGTTTTAGGTGGGGTGGCGTAGGCCGTTTTACTCTTTCTGTTCACGATGGGTGCCTTGGCGTATTGGCCCTTGGGCCAGGTTACCAGCGAATTCGCCGCGTGTCATTTGAGGGCTCATGTGGCTTCTTAAAAAATGTTCAGCAAATTTGTCGTCTGGTCAGAATTACCGCGGACAATAGAAGTAACACCTCGTTCTCGACTTCCGCAAGCAGCGCAGGCTCAAAACGCGCAAATCATATAATTTGAAAAACCCTTTTCGTGGTCTCACGAAAAGGGCTTAACGTAACGAAATTATGACGACTCGCCTGAGCGGTTTCGTTAACCAATCACACACTTTCACGAAGGTGAAAAAAAAACCATTTAAGAAAAACATTTTCGAAATGTGCATTGGTTAATGGTGATTGGGGGACCATGGGTCGTGTTTTCGTATTCAGGACAGACCTGTTGGTGTCACGCGGAAAGCCTGAATATTTACGTCATTGGTTATAAAATATGGAAAACGCCTCGAATGTTCTTGACACGAGGATTAGAATAGGACCGAAATAATAAGACAGAATGGATGAAAAGGGGGTACGGATTCATGCCCAGGTCAGCGCGCATACAAAAGTGCCAGGTGGACGGGGGTACCAGCTGGCTGTCGCCCCTCGGTCCGTCGTGATTATGTCTGATCGCCCTGGCAAGCGCGTATTGGCTGGGCAATTCCAAGCACAGTTCACGAGAAATTTCCGAGCTCGCACTCGCGGGTTGGTTGGCGACACTCGCATGCTGGGATCGCACCCAATTTGGGTGGCGCGACTCGATGGTCGGTGGCATTATGCGACTGTTGTGATTGGTCACAATGTTTTATTGCGCTTTTTTAGTGAAGTCAACAGTAGATGTATACCGTACGGACGGAGTACATCGTGGCCGATCTTATCAAATTCCGGACCTTGGAGTATTATATGGAGTAAAATGTCATGGACCTAATGGCGTACTCGCTGTATGAAAACGAATGTGTTCACCGCGCAGGACTGCAGTAGTCTGACGCAACGTTTCGTGATGCGAGGTTGTAGGCATATGTACACACAGGGCAGAAACTAGGTGCGATGAACTGTCAAGTGCAAATTTTCGCGGAATGTGGGCAAACGTTCTCGGCAAAAGCTATGAATCCTTTTTCGATATAAATTACCTTACACTTCTACATTTCCAGGGGTTTAAATGACGATGTGCTCTTCAAACGGGGAGGGGCTAATAATAAGATAATGACATAAGTACAAAAGCAGAAGCTGAATAAAGGACGCTGGGCCCTATCCCTTGGGGGGGCCCCTATCCGGGTGGATACGGTACACAATTCTCATGCTTGTGTCCAGCTAACCCGGTTCAAGGCCTCACCTTGGGACGTCTCCATGTTGCAAGCACCACGTCCTAATGTTAGGCCAGAGATGCCAACTCTCTTCTAGCAAGCCACTGTCTTGGTTGGCGTATGACCGCCCTCTCGTAGCTGCTACCTCTTAGTGTCTAATCCACTTGGCAGGATTGTATTTAACCCGTCTTACCAAGTATTCCACTGTGTAACTCCATATTTTCCAATAGTTGTACTCTACCCTTCAAGTTTGGGCACCGGCTTCTACCGACACAACTTTCGCTAAGAAGCGTACACCTTGGGTTCACCTCACAGTACGTGAAGAGTACATGCAACAGTACGTGTAAAAAACGTGAAATTTCCCTACTGGCTCTTTTCTTCCTCCTCACCGAAGATTTTGTGAGGTGGAAATACCACTGGCCTCTAGAGAAACTTGTTTTTTATGGCAAAATATGTAGGTCCTGGAGGCTGCTCTCGTCTCCTATTGGACACGCCCAAGTTTTATTATATTTCTGATACAATCTTTTGAACAGTGCCCTTTGACGTCAAGCCTATGCTAAAACGAATGCTTACAACATGCCCTTATGGCATGCACCGTAAGTGATGGCATGCGGCACTGCTGAACCACGTCTGATGATAGAGACAGTACTGGTGCAGGCGAAGAAATATGAAGTGGTTCTAAGGGAAGCGATGTTGGGTGCACTCACGGCGACTTGAACGAGCGGCGGTGGCAGTGGACCCGCAATGACTCCTAAGGGGGAAGACGTGGCACCAGAAGAGGGTGTGGCATGAGTCAAGTGGCTGGCAGCGGTTGCATGGGAATGGCCGCAGGCGGGTGGCTGCTGGCGAGCAGCGGCAGATGAATGGTGGCGCGGCAAGCTTGCGGCTAGTGAAGGTGGGCGGAGAGCTGGCAAGCATGCAAAGGCGAGCGACAAGTGGCGAGCTGGCGAGTAGGCAAAGGGCTGGGTGCCGCGAGTATGCAGAGGCATGCACGCAAAAGCAAGTGGTGAGCGGCGGGACGGCGAGCACACGAAGGTGAGCAGGCAAAAGAGGGTGGCTTAGCAAGCAGCGTGCTGCCTATTAGGTGAAGGTGAGCAGCAAAGGCGAATGGCGAGCTGGTGAGCAAGTGAAGGCAAGCAGCTGAAGGCGATTGGCTGGCGCCAAACAGGTGCTGGCAGTGAGTTGCGCGCTGGCGAGTAGACAAAGGTACGCATGCAAAGGCAAGCGGCATTCTGGCAAGCAGGCGAATGCAAGCAGGCGAAGAGGGATGGCTGCCAGCGAGTGGGGCGAGAAGGCAAAGGCGAACGAGCTAGGGTTCAGGCTTACATAGGGTACAACTGTTTGATATACCCAACTGTCATTGCCTTGCATAGTCACTTTCTCTCGATGTGGTATAGAGCTATGTGCTCCTAGCCGCCATGCTCTCCACTATCCTCCCACCCTAGCTTACCTCCTTAGTCTTAGCTATAACTTTTTCCCCCCCCTGCCTGCGCCCTAGCCTTAGCACTCCTCCTAGGCCGCCCCCCTGCCGTCGCGCTGCCTGCGTTTTCCCTGCTGGCCACCGCCAGCTCGCCACCGCAAGCAGCACCTTTGTCGCTGCCTGCGCGCCACCCGTTGCCCCCCGCCAGCAGCTCGCTCGCAGCGCGCAGCCGCCAACTTGCTCGTTCGCTCACTGCCAACTCGCTGCCAGCAGCCACCGCCAGCTCACCTCAGCCAGCAACTCGCTAGCTGCCAGCTGCCGCCAGCCACTCGCTTGCAGCGCGCCGGTGCCCGCTCACTGCTGGCAGCCGCCCTCTTCCCTCTCCCTACTGCTCCCTTGCTGCCAGCTCACCGCTAGTGGCACGCTGCTCGCTCGCCGCCAGCAGCATCTGCGCACTCACCGCCAGCCAGCTGCTGCCAGCCAGCTCGACGCCAGCCCGTCAGCCGCCAGCTCGCTCGCCGCCAGCTCACTGCTGCCAGCCAGCCACCCACCAGCCGCAGCTGCCCGCTCGCCAGCGCGTGCGCTCGCCTCCAACCAGCTTGCCGCCAGCTAGCTGCTGCCAGCCAGCTAGCTGCCAGCGTGCCAACTGCCAGCTAACTCGCCGCCAGCACACTGCCACCAGCCAGCTCGCCACCAGCAGCCACAGCCCGCTCACCAGCTGGCCCGCCAGCCGGCCAGCCAGCCGCCGCCAGCCAGCTAGCCGCCAGCTGCCAGCTCGCCGCCAGCAGGCCGCCAGCTCACTAGCCGCCAGCCGGCAGCACCTGCCAGCTCGCTGCCAGCAGCACTTGCCAGCTAGCCGCCAGCAGTGCCTGCCAGCTTTTCGCCAGCAGCGCCTGCCTGCTCGCTGCCAGCAGTACCTGCCAGCTCACTGTCAGCAGCACCTGCCAGCTCGCCACCAGCGGCACCTGCCGCCAGCTGCCAGCTCGCCACTAGCTCACTACCGCCAGCCAGCCGCCAGCCAGCAACCAGCCAGCCGCCAGCCCACCGCCAGCCAGCAGCCAGCCAGCCACCAGCCAGCCACCAGCCAGCCACTAGCCAGCAGCCATCCAGCCACCAGCCAGCTAGCCGCCAGCTGCCAGCCAGCAGCCCGCCGCCAGCCAGCCAGCTAGCCACCAGCCAGCCGCCCTTCTGCTAACCCACCTGAACGCCATTGGGGTGGATCTCCAGCGAGGCTCTGGCATCAGCACTGACGGGGCGGCTGTCATGATGGGGACAAAGAGTGGGCTCGTCACTCGACTTCGCCCACAAGTGCCACAACTCGTGTCACGTCATTGCCTTGCGCACAGGTAATGTCTGCTGCCATGTTTCACCGTCTCCCTGCTGGCCTATCCTTTACCCACACTACCTGAC